CGAAATATTACCTTCTCCAGAACCTTCGCAGCCTTGATTCTGTATAATAGTGCCCAAAACGTCATAGCCAGTTTCACGGACAAACCTATTCGTGTGGCTGACAGCCTTGAAAACTATTGCCAGGATATCAGGGTCACAGCACATCTTGAAGCGTTCTGAACCCAAGCCACAAACACAAAAATGAAGACACTTCATCCAAGTCTCAAGGTTTTTCCACCCAGCGGTATCATGAAACAGAGTGAGGGAGCTCTTACTTAAGTTAGGATTGGTGTCCTAGGGTAAAAGCCAAAGCATTAAGCTTTTGAGCAATACCGAGTGATGAGCTTAGTATCACTCTCACCATAACTAAATCAAGTTCTTTTTGGGCTTCCTCTTGCTCTTTAGCAGGATTAAGTGGATCCCTATTCAAATTATCCTCTATTCCTTCCTTGATCCTTGGAAGAAACCTTTCGAAAATTTGGACGCCGCCAAGGTTGCAAAGGACGCCCATTAATTCACCTGCTGCAATACGAACCCGATACTCATAATGCGAATCCATTTCTGGAAGTTTATCAATCAACACCTCTCTGAAGTTGTGAGCATCCAACAGAGAAGTCGGAACTTTCTCAAGCAAAATACGTGCAAAAGTGCAAGCACCATATATCTAAAAACAATCCATGAATATCCCAGCATACGTCCTCCCATTCGTGCAAATTTTCCGACTTTTCCATGATCCAATCGATCAAATCCTTAATTTCGTTGACTTCAAAATCTCTTTCCCTCAGAGCCATCTCACCACGATCACGATCCAGCTTTTTCGGTGCGCATAAAAGTTCAGCAAGCTCCAATGCATCACGTTGCTCACCCTTCTGAAAAAACTGTTTCTAATCATTCGACCATTACCATCCTTAAAACCAATGTACCCCTCAAGGAACACGAACTCGACTATTCCGCCTGAGATCATAAAATGTTAATAAGGGAAAGAAGTAAAAAGAGACATGTAGATCATTTGTCAAAACTAGAACAAAAAACACCTTCTAATATATCGGCTTATTTCTCTTTATAAAGCTAAAAATTACCTATTGTTGCAATTGGTAAATGCGCTACTTA